ACCTTGGCGTACAAAGTGGCGTACGCAAGTTTCTAGGCTCAAATTGGGCATACGCCAGTTTTATAAATCCTACCCCAGAACTGTAATCTGGAGGTGTGCCCCAGAGTCCTGCTGTTCTGACCTGGATCCATCGGAGTCTAATAAACATGAAGTTGGGGGTAAATCGGCTCACCTGCTCCTGGACGTCCTCGTACTCAGAACTCAGAAGCTCGATGAAAATGGGCACGGCTCCGGTTTCGATCACAACCTTGGTGTGCAGGAAGGTTCCAGAGGCGATGTTGGTCAGAGCCCAGGCTGCTTCGAACTGAGGCCAACACAGAAACAGAGAGTGGGTCAGAAAACCCAGCCCTACACTGTGATGATGTCACACTTATTTCAACTCCTTTTAAAGTTTACAYATCAAAACTGATATTTTACACAACTTAGATCATGCAAGTACTGTTCAGATTTAGAGAGGATAAATTAAACTCAATGTTTCTCTTCTATTTCATTTTATTGTATTTTATCAGACTGCTCCTCTGATGCTCCACCCCAACAAAYCCAGAGGCAGAACTCCTGAGCTCAGTTCAGATTAGCGTTAGTTGAACTGGTGAAATAAACCCTGGATTAGATGTAGAACCCGCTCCTGGTCTGTGGTACCAGCTGTGTGAAGATCTCACCTGCAGCGTGGAGTTCTCCTTCCTCTTCAGGAACTCGACGAAACGAGGAACAACACCAGGAGAGGAAATGACCTCATCGATTGGAGGGTTGGGCTCTGCACAAACACACGCCTCGTGTTATGTCATCTCACAACCAAACAGGGTTTACAAAAAGACTCTRCTTTAGATCAAACTGATTCAATGGTTTTATCTTTAAAGTGGGCCTATTATGCAAAACTCACTTTTTTCATGTTTTTAAACTTATTTTTGGGTCTTTACTGCTTAGAGAAGCAGTCTAAACACCAAAAAAATGCACCCAGCCATTTTTTAGCTGTAATTACATGTATTTTTAGGTATCTGGAAACACGGTATTTCTCAAAGCACGTTGTTCTGACATCACAATAACAGTCACCTAGCAACCTAAACCAGAGTCCTGCTCCTCACGAGGCAACCCGAGGTGAAGCTCCGCCCACATCCTCAAAAGACGACAGTTCTGTTTTTACAGCAGCCACAGAGAACAGAGATGCCTGGATTCATTTTATTTTTATCTTTGATGACAACGTTCTAACAATATTGCCAAAGAAAGCTGTAGTTTGTGAAAATAATTTCACTTTGGAAACTTCTACCATGCCGGGGGGCGGGCGGAGCTAATGTAAACAAACGGATGAGGGGATGGGGAGGGGGGGTTTCCATAGCAACTTCTGCATACAGCACGTTCTGGAGAGAGCTGAAGAACAGGAAGAACTGAAAAGGTGAAATTTCATTATTTGATATTCTTTTTGTGAATTAAATCAAATGAACAATGTTTTGTATAGCCCACAGATGGATCCTAACTTGTGCTAAGACCCCCATTATAGGCCCACTTTAAATAAATTTATTGAAAGAACACCATACTAAAGTTTTAAACTAAGATCATCTTATGTTGAGTAATGATAGAGTTAAAATTTGCTTCTCTGAGATTAAATGAGACGAGACTTCCTGTTTCAGGTCAGTCATTCTGCTAAATACCTGAATAAGAGAGAATTTTATTACTTTAAGTCCCAAGTTTATATCAGTTCACTTAATATTTAGCAGCGTAGCGTTTAAACTGTACGTTTGGGTCAAACGTTTCGGGTTTCCTTCCCTGAGCTTCTAACAGCTGGTTGGACTTAATGGACAYCATGACCAAACAGATCACAGGACATGTCTCCAAACATTCAGGTCTTTGTCCCTGTGTGTTTACAACCTGCTGTCTGTCTTAATGTTGCTTCAGGAGTAATAACTGCTTCCTCTATGAGTGTCCTGTCAGGCAGTGYTGGTCCAGATTCAGAACTTGTTTCTCTGTGTTTAAAGACTCTGAGCAGCTTCTTCACGAGGTCCGCAGCTTTTCTTTTAGCTTGTTTYACACACGTCACTGTCTGAAAACATGTTCACCATCATAGCATCACCTTCTGAGCTTTCTCTTATTTGAAGGGTTTGCAGTCTTACAGTATGTAAACTTGTGATTATGAAGAAAAAAATTATCTCAATTTTTAGATATTTAGAAAATGACAATAATCATGGGAATCCTAACTGACCTGAAACAGGTTAAGTTTAATCTGATTTAATATCAGTCAGCGAGAAACAATTCACTGTGTGTAAACATCTGGTTTCACATGTAAAATAAATCCTGTTCTTGATCATCTGTAAAATAAGGCACCATCTCCTCCAGTAAGGAATGATGTCAGACCTTTGGAGAGTAACTTCCTGAACTTCTGCGTAGCGATCAGCTGCTGATCTGCGTCCTCAGAGAAGATCATCTGAAGCATGTCTGCTGTTATGACCACTTCCTGCACACAGTCAACATGAGAACCACATCAAACAAGGACAGAGCTCCAACAAACATCCCAACCTGATCAAACGACTGACGCGGCACTTACACCTGTGACAGGTACCGTGGAGCTGATGTCCGGGTCCTGGATGGGGCCGTCCAGCATGGAGTCTTCAGCTGAAGCCACAGAAACATTCCTCCTTTTGAAGAGCTGCTCGACGAGAACCACAGGACAGAATAAATCAAAGCCTTCTGCTTCAAATCACATCATCAAACCTTCTGTCTAACTTCTCAGACGGCTACCTGCCGAGCTGTCAGGACTGAAAGAACCACAACTTTAGTGGTAAAAGAATCAGAGGTTTGATCAATGCAAACTCATCTCTCTGTTAGCAAAATATCTCCCTTTTTTAATACAACTGAATAATACTGGAAGTCACYTTGAATAAAGATGGCTGCTAAAGCTAAGCAACCTCAGCAAACACACAAACAGCTGTAAYTCAACCAGCTTTTCATGTGCTGGAGTGAAATACGGTGTGGTAGTAGCTGAGAGTATTGCCTTCTGAAAATTTCATTAAAATCCATTTAGTGGTTTCTTAAATATTTTACAAACAGAAAGACAGTGTTACCTCTAACAGTTATTGCTAAGATTTGTTTTAAAGCAGATTTATGATGCTTTTCAATCCTTCTTTTTCACATTTAAATCCTTCAGTTGTGGTCTAAAGTGTACGGAGACCGCGAGGGTCATGGGGGGATTTTTTTTCTTTTGCATTCCCTCGCAAAATTGTTTTGTGTTCCCATACAAAAGCTTTTGTATATGAACTGAATTAAATCAGACTTTTATTTTGAAATGTCCGGTTACCAAAACAGGATGAGTCGCCACAAGTTCGTGAAATTGACATTGATGTTGTGGCTGCACTGTGTTAAAATATCAGCATATGACATACTTCCATGTGTGGTTGTGTGATATATTCATTCTGAAGCTGAATTAAAGCAGTAGGCTAACTCACTAATGGTTAACATGTGAATTCGTTAATAAACCAGCAGGCACAAAAGTGATAAACGACTTTTGCGAGGGAACACAAAAGAAAAAAAGAATTTCCCATGTCCCCTCGCGGGCTCCATAAAAGTATAACTGCAATGCTTTGGTCTGAATTCCTCCTTATTGCAACTCCACAAGCCCCGCCCCTTTTCTGAGTTGTCTCAAATCATCTCATTTTGAGGCTGTCTCTTTAAATCCAAATGAGTCGYYTCACACCCTCWAGCTTCTAGACCAGCTCATTCTAGTTTGATAGAGGGGTTCACAAATCAAAATCTAATCAATAAATCAAGTGAAAGAAAAAAAAACAAAATTAAAGAATGCAGATGGTGCAAAATAATGTATTTTTTAAAACGCACGATTGTATAATGTACAACGTAAGTGAAAGGTAAAATGAATTTTGAAAAGTTAGAGAAAAAGCAACTGTGTAATCTTTTTGAGTAGTGTCGTAGAAGCGTTTCCTATAAAAATGTGTAACAACAGCAGAAAGTAATGAGATACTYGGTATCATTGTTTTCGTGTATTGTGTGTGAGATGTAGCAATTTCGAGTTCAATTTTAAGTTAAAACAAAACAAAATTAAAGCTCAAGAGTGCAAAATGTGAAAGACAATATAGCAGAAAACACTAYAAAATGTAAAACATAACCAAAAGTGAAGGGACGTGCATAGTTGTAACAGTGTTGCATAGAGAAATATTACACTTCAAAGTGTAATGAGGTAGTTATTTAGACTCCGTCTGTGTTGAGGACACTGCCTGTGGAAAGAYGCTCCTCCTTATTCTTTCTGTGTTCAGCCTCAGGGTTCAGAAGCGGTTCCCTGAGAGTAACAGAACAGAGAGAACAGTCCATTGTTGGGATGACTGAGGTCTTCCACCGTCTCCTTGGCTTCAGTCCAGCACCTCTTGTTGTAGAYGGTTTACAGGTCAGGAAACTCCATCTTAGTGATGCGCTCTGCTGATCGTCTCACTCTTCAGAGCCCCGGCCTGTTCTGCTGCGTGCCGTTTCCAAACCCGACTGTGATGTTCCCCGTGAGGATGCTCTCGATGGTGCAGGAGCAGATAGTGTGTAGTACCATGGAGGGCAGTCTGAATGCCCTTATATGTCTGAGGTGGTAGAGACATTAACAAGCCCCATGACAAGTCCTGCAAGATGTTGACTCCAAGGTATTGAAAACTTTCCACTCTTGTTCCATTAATGTGGTCTGGGTGGTAGCTCCTTATGACTGAAGTTTAACATCATCATCATCATCCTCCTCCTCTTGATGGTGGTGATAAAAAGAGTTGATTCATTTTGTTTCAGTTTTGAACTGAAGGGTGAGTTTGAGAACCACTGATCTAACCACTTATTTAAAAGGACCAGAGTGTTCCTGCTGGAGKAAACTGTCATTGGTTTGATGTTCAGGTATAAATCAATATGATCAAATCCGACATTCTGCTGAGAACAAACATTTCACAGTTAAGAGTCACCTGGTGAGAGGTGACCATTCGTTTACCTGCTCTTCTCTTTTCTGTTTACGAAGCTGAACTCCCTCCTCCTCTCTTCTTCGACGCATCTCCTGAGGATTCAGGGCTTTGTTCTTGTAACTCTTCATCCGGTAGTTTTCTCTTCTCGGACTCGCCATCGTGTCTGAAAGGAGATGATCGCGTAATGTCTGTTTTATTCCTGTTGGTCCTCACAACTATTACGACCTGTAAGACACATCTGTCTGTCTTTGGACATGTACAACCTGACAGCTTTAACACGTCAGTCTGTCTGTTTGGTAGTCACAGGGCTGTTTTGGTATCATGGTGTGTAACACACTGAACATGGAGGACAGGACACCTGAGTGTCTCAATGATTGACATTTTAAAGGTAGACTATAAGACTGTCTCCCTGAGACTACAGCTGCACACAGGTCAGAGACAACCTCCCAGGACGTGTCCACAAGAGGACAACTGAACAGACAACAATGCAGATGTTAACCAGAGTCCAGAACATCTTCCAAAGAGATTAGAGGTGACCTCTAAGGTCAAAGGTCATCGGTGTCAGATTACACTGTTTAAGACTTGTGGACAGGTGGACCCAAACACCTGCTTACAGTTCATGAAAGCTTAGTTTAGGCTTTTTAAACTAATATGTTTTAATATATAACTAATAAAGTTACCATAATATTCTAGTTAGAAATCGACCTGCAGCTCAGTTGTTTCTGGCAGTAAATAATCCGACTGGATGAAGTGGTTAACCCTGATTAACTCCACAAACAACCAGGATACACACAAGAGACCTGAAAATGTTTAACCAACAAAAACACAAATAACCTTTTAACTAGCAGAATGTGTTGTTTGGTCAAACCTTGGTGGAGTCATCTGATCACCAACTAGTTTACTTACAAACCAATCTAACTGTTCGAGAAACTAACAAGTCCAAAACACACCGAACCGAACCGAACCTCGTCACCTCCTCCTGGTACTCACCCTGTGGCTGAAACTAACAACAACCCAAGATGTTTGTTTCTTTTGCCTCTTAAACAAAAATGGCGTGCTCCTCGACACTTTCCCAGCAGTCCTCGCGCGACAACAACACTGACGTCAGTTCCGTCAGCCGACTCCACATCGTTAACCAAACGTATTGTAGTTTTGTTCAGATAAACAACAGAAATATACCATTTTTTTAGTTTATGAAAATAAATAATCTTAGTTAATTTTTATTCATGTCTGCTCGTATATGAACGCGTTTGACCATAAATTATTTTATTCTGGGCTTTTGTTTTGAAAGTCTGTACCGGAAGTGATGTCTTCTTCTTCGTTCCGTTAGGCGTTTTGAAGAGAAAAGAAAGAAGAAACCCGCTGGTAGCTTGAGTTGAACCCGTTTTTCGTATGTACGTTATTGTTATTATTTGTGAACTTATAATGTGACAGTATGCCAATTTTATATTTATTTAAAGTAGTAATGGTCAAGTTAAGCTTTTCTGAAGCTCCTTTTGAAAAGGATTCTTTACTAGACGCTTTTCAAGACGGTTTTAGTCTTTAGCGCCATCTTTTGGCCAAAAGCGTRAACAGCTTGAACTCTGCATGAAATGAACCACTTTATCGTGATATCTGTTCCTTAAAGAATGCAAAATGCATACTTTTAGGCTTTTTCTTTTTTCTTTACATTTACAAATAAATTTTATTGTGTACTTGGAGTCTCTAGGAGTGCAGAAAAGTTGAATTTAGTTTATCTTGGTGCTGCAAAGATATCTTTATATTCTGTTGGGGGTCACTGGTTTGTTATATTTTGCACAAATTTGCCATCAAAGCACCATGAATCCAGCAATGTTTTATGTTCTCATTAATCTTTGAATCAGGTACCAAAGCAGTGACATAACTTGGTCACTGAGATACCTGTGATCCAACAGCAGGGTCTGTTCTCTGACAYGATGAAGTCATGAACAAATCTGAGCTCACAGGTCACTTGTGTTTCTTCACCTGGTAGTTATCTGACTCTGCTATGTTCTGTAACTGAGAGTGACCTGAAGTTCTGGTGTTAGCAGGTACCGGTCATGCTGACCTGTGAGATCTGCGGTGAAGAACTCCTGCTGGAGGAGGACATGAAGACCCACCTCCTCCTCAGCCACCTGGAGCGTGAGCCGCACTGTCCTCTATGTTCGCTGTCCGGAGTGTCCTTTGATGAACTCAGGGTCCACGTTCTGTCTGCACATCCTGAAGACCAGGACAGAGAGGGGGGTCCGGGTCAGTCCATGTTTGTTTCAGGCTCAGGCCAGTCGACATGCGGTTCAGGTCTGGATCAGTCCATATGTGGTTCAGGTTCCTCAGTCAGACTAAAAGCCGGGCAGAAGCACACGACTCAGAATGGGTGTTTGTTATCTGGGGGGGCTGCTTCTTTACAAGAACAGAGTCCTGAACCCTCGGCCAGGTTCTGGAAGGGGCCCATGCAAGAAGTGGACTCTGAACCCAGTAAAGGTACCCTGCAGCTGTTGGTGTTGTGTAAAAACTGATCCTATGTTCAGAACTCACGGTGAACTGTTGTGTTTTTGTAGCAGAGCCTCAGTTCTCGTGTCCGCTGTGCTCACTGGTCTGCAGCAGTCCTTCTGTCCTCCAGGACCACGTAGAGCTGCATCTCCAGGGTCCAGTCTCAGATCAGGGTAAGAGGTCCGTTTCGCATCAGAACAAGTTCTCACACAGCTGCAGTCATCATGGACAAGATTATTTTTATTTAGCTGGTGGTTTATCAGGGCAGAATGATTTCGCCACTTTTTTTATAAAAAGTTTCCTTCAGACTCAGCTGTTGGTATTACCTTTTATTAAAGTTATAAAAATCTTTAATAAAACAATAAAACTGTTAATAAAATTATCTGACAAAAGCAATGAAAATATAATGAAAATCAATTACTGGCTTGACTGTTTATTCAACAGAAATAAAAAATGAAACTGATGGAAACTTTGCAAAAAGGATGTTAGTCATAGAAAATGTTGATTAGTTTTGTGGCCTGTCTGTGATATTATTTTATTTTTATGCCAAATTAATCAGTTAAATGATCCTCCAAGAGCGGTGAGTCCAAAATTTTCTTGGGGTTTTACAAAGACCAGGGGTCAGATTTACAAAGGATTACGTGGAAAACATACTAAAAATGAACGTACGGCCAAAAGGCGAAAACGGTGTACGCCAAAAAAAATTCAGATYTATAAAACCATACGTACGCACGTTTCTGCGCACATTCACTTTTTAGATCACAGCCGCACGTCAGAGTTTGTGCACGAGGTCCCGCCTCAGGTTCTACCCTCTACACGCCCACATTCAACCATAAACAGTCAATGCAAAGTACTTCATGAATGTTAAGATGTATTTAAATCAGTCAGCTGATCAATGTCGAAAGAAGCGATTGGCCGACTCAGACTCGCGCTCCGTCGTGCGTCTGGAGGATGACAGCTGCTCACGTGAACAGAATGTCTGTAACTGACAGATTTTCCCTGACTTTGCAGGTTTACAGACGTTTAGAGTAATCTATGATTTTTATCAAAAACTCAGCTTCAAATTAATTTTCTCTCAGAGCCTGCAGGACGATAAAAACAATAAATAAAATTAAATAAGTCATAAACTTAGAAATAATTTCACCACTCGTCTCCCCCATCCTCCGCCTCCTCTATTATCTGTGGCAGACCTCCCTCCACACACACAC